GCTGGCTGGGGCATGAAGTCCACGGGACCTAGCTCCTTGCAACATGAGTTCCCTGCAAGTGATTGGCTTTCCCCAACTGCCCATGTGTTGAGGAGAAAGAACAACTATGTATCAGGAAGCCCCATCTGCAGAGAGATACAGAGAAAGTTCCACAGAAGGATGAGGCTGTTTCCATCAGCTGCTATCCCTCCTGCTTTTCTCTGTGCCTCCAGGACTCACTGCACAGCCTTACCATCAGCCTCACCCCCAAGGCTCTCATTTATTATTCCCCCATTCCTCTCTGCCATCCAGTAGAGTGGGCCAGAAGAGTAAGCATTTATTGATCACTTCTTGTATACCAGGCACCATAAGCTGTGCTCAGATACAAAGATACAGAACCCAGAGTCTACCGACTCTACCTTGAGCACAGATTTATAATCCAACAAGTTGAGTGTAGTGGGGTCAGTGTAATGACAGAGACATTCACAGAGACTGGAGCCTCACCTGAATTGAGGGTGTTGAGGAAGGTTTCCTGGAGGAGAGGGCATCTGAACTTGAAGAGGGAGAAAAGGTTACTTAGGTGATAAAGGATAGGACAGGCAGAGAGAGTAGCCTCATGTCCTAGAGAGAATGGCTCCACCATGCAAATTGTGTGCTCTTCTTGTTCTCTAAAATAATTCTATTGTCTTCTCTTGTACATCTGTGATGGTAGAGGGTCCATGTCTTCATATAGCCGATGCAGACAGTGTTCGGTGCATGCTTGTTGATCTGATTTGAAATGGATGCTGTGGTTTACAGTTTGTAAGCCAGCTTTCAGCAGGCCTTATTGTTAGGACATGCACTTAGAACTGGCTTGGGATCACAGAGTTATTTGCTTCCCTTCTCTCTCTTATCCTTTTTTTATGAGTTCTTTGAGAATCTGATGAATATACCCTGCTATGTGTTAACTACATTATCAATTTTTCTCTTCCTAACAGCCTGTGTTACTAAGAATTCCCCTTCCCAGAGCGCCCTTTCAGTGGGATGTAATGGGTAAAACTAGACATTGGTCCAATTTCTAAAACTTCAGTTGATCTCATGATGGCTGGGATAGCATGGAGACAAGCTTGTCACTAAGACTAACTCAACAAAGCACACCGTCATGGGGATTGTATAGGTGAGGTCTTCTGCCCTGTAACCGTAGCTGACGTTTATTGAGTGCTTCCCATCACTGGGCACCAAGTTAAGGACTTATTTTAGCAACCCATTTAGTCACAAAACTGAGTTAGGTACTGTTACCATCCCTGTTTTACAGATGGGATTTCTAGGGCACAGTGACATTAAAAACTTGCCCAAGGCCACATACCTTATAAAGATACAGCTGGGATTCAAACTTAGAATATGGTTCCAGAGCCTGTGCACTTATAATACCATAGCTAAACTTTCACCATAAACCATCTTCATTTCGTAGTAACCAGCAAAGAAAGCCAGAGAGCCTGTGTCCTGATGCAGCATTTGTAAATGTGTAGGTGGATTGATTGGCAGGAGTGCAGGGTAGAAGTATGTATCTCCTGGCACACGGTAAACCTTATTGAGGTATTTCCATATTGATTCTGATTTGGTGAAGAGCACCTCCAATGAAGTCTTTAAATGAGTTAATTAAGCCTTTCTAGACATTCTTCCTACCAGTGCTCGCCTTTATTTAAATCTAACCAGGCATGGTGGCATTAGCCTGTAATCGCAGCAGCTCAGGAAGCTGAGGCAGGAGGATTGAGAGTTCAAAGCCAGCCTCAGCAATTTAGCAACTCAGGGCCTCTCTCTAAATAAAATATCAAAAAAGGCTGGGAATGTGGCTCAGGTTCAAGGCCTCTGGGTTCAATCCCTGGTACCAAAAAAAAACTCCAAAATAAACAAACAAACAAAACACAAAAACTTAAGGTGGTGCTTTAAAAAAAAACAGGGCTAGGGCTGGGGTTGTAGCTCAGTGGTAGAGCATTTGCCTAGCAAATGTGAGGCACTCGGTTCGATACTCAGCACTACATAAAAATATAAATAAATTAAAAAAAACAGGGCTACCCATTTTACATGTCTTATAGGGGAAATCGTGTATTTCTCACCTTTCTCTTATCTGTCCCCCTAGTTATAGTGGCGCCACTGGTTGAGCAAGACTATCTCAGAGATCCTCCTTGAGAACCTCTCACCTAAAGATAGAACAGACAGAGGCATCATGTCAACAAAGCTGGTCAGCCAGGAAACATCTGTCATATGCATGTTTCATCTGTTGAGAACAAGGCCAAGAGCGTTTCTTCACATGCTTCCTCCTTCAGTCAGTCATTTGAGCATCTGTGCAGGCTTATTGAATACCCGTGTGAGCCAAGCAGAGTTCTAGGAACTGGGTGTACTCTGGTGAACAAGCCACAGCTTATATTGTTAAGCTCTGATATTGTGGCCTAATTATGTCTGATGTTAAGATTAAATAGTCTATAATAGGTATTTCTCAAAAGACAATCAACCAACCAATTTGAGGGAAAATAAAAACAATAAGGAGAAGAGTGGTGAGGTGAAGGAGGGTGTCTCTAGAGAGCAGGCATTTAGGCAAGGACTTGCGTGAAGTGAAAGAAAAGTTGTTTTTTTTTTCTTCATTCATCTGCTTCTTTATTCATTCAATAGTCAGTGCCAGAGCTGTCTGCACCAGTACTGTGCTGACTGCCATTATTGGGTGGATGATGATGGAAGCGGGTGTGGGCTGGGAGCTATAGGGGGTGGTTAACCACATATGCCCGAGGGGCAGTGATGTTATTCTTCCAGGATCAGGAGTGTTTGCAAGCAGAATGGTGTGCAGGTATAGGAGGAAGCTAGTAAGCATAATTCAGAATAGTGGGGTTTTTCCTTTTGGTCTTTTTTAAAAAAAAAAAAATCTGAGACAATTATGAGAGAAACTTCCCAACATGCACTTAAAGTAGAACAACTTGATAATCTAAACTTTTAAAATGTCAGATTCCAACAAATAAGAAACTATTTGCATCCTTCTCAGAAAGTATTATTTTTCAATAATATTAAAAAAATAATTATTTCTGACATTCATAAGTATTTATAGGCTCTGTGAGCATGTTATATGGAAAAACTTATTACTGCTCTCAGTACACAAGGAGTTTGATTTATAAGGGGACTACCAAAGAAGAAAATATGACAGAATTTTGTAGCTGCACCACCAGAATAATTCTCATAACTACATCCATATAGCATACTACAATTTACAGAGTGGGCCTGTGTAATTGATCTGATTATTGCCACAGTCCTACAAAGTGGGTAATAGGATATTATCATTAGTAGGAATAGTTGTAGTGGTCTTATTACCATTATCCCCATTTTACAGTTGAGGATATTGACACTAAATAATACAAGTGATTTTCAAGGAATTTATAAATTCAAATCCCAAAAAATAAAAGGTAATTTTAAGATTTGATATTGTGGCCTTATTATATCTGATGTTCAAGATTAAATAGCTATAATAGGTATTTCTCAAAAGAAGATATACAATCAATATCACTGATCATCAGGGAAATGCAGACCAGAACCACAATGAGATGTCACCTCACTCCAGTTAGAATGGCTATTACCCAAAAGACAAAAATAACAAATGTCCCCAAGGATGTGGAGAAAAGGGGACCTTTGCACACTGTTGGTAGGAGTATAAATTAGCCCAGCCATTTTGGAAAACAGGATAAAAGTACCTTAAAAAATTAAAAGTAGAACCACCATTATGGTCTAGCAGTTTAGTTACTGGTATGTATTCAAAGGAAATGAAGACAGTAAGTTGAAGAGATACCTGCATTCCCATGTTTATTGTAACACTGTTCACAGAAATGGAAGCCATCTAAGCTAAGAAATGGAAACTAAGAAATGGAAACCATCTAAGTATTCATCATATAGAAAATGTGGTACATATACACAATGGAATACTCTTCTCCCAAAAAAAGAGATTAAATTTGTCCACAACGTGGATGACCCAAAGGACATTAAGTGAAATAAGCAAAACACAGAAAGAAGTACCACAATTTCACTCATGTGGAATCTAAAAAAGTTGATCTCATAGAAGTAGTGAATAAAACAGCAGCCACATACCAGTGTGGTGGTCCATGCCTGTAATCCCAGTGACTCAGGTAGCTAAAAAGGCAGGAAAATCCCAAGTTCCAGGCCAGTTGGTAAGATCCTGATTCAAATTTTTTTAAAAGGACTGGTGATGTAGTCAGAGGTTGAATGCTTCTGGATTCAATCTTCAGTACCTCATCCACAAGAAAAAGAACAATGGCCAGCAGAGACTGGGGTGGGTAGGAGGAAAGAGTGGGAGAGGTTGGTCAAAGGGTACAGAGTTGCAAGTAGAAAGGAAGAATCAGTTCTGGTGTTCTGTTGCACTGTAGGGGAAATGTGGTTAACAGCATAGTAGCGTTTATCTCAATACAGCTAGAACAGAGGATTTTGAACGTTCCCACCACAAAGAAATGATAAATGTTTGGGGAGATGAGTATGCTAACAACCCTGATTTGATCATTACACCGTGTATACTTGTATCGAAGCATCACATTGCACCCCATAAATATGTAGAGTTTTGTATGTTAAAAAAAAGAATTAAAAAATCTAATTGAGCATTTTTAAACTCCATTTACTTCTCATCTGTTATTGTCAGGGTAGGAGGCAGGCAGCAGTTAAGAAAATATGGTTAATATTTCCAAATAGTGCAACATTTTCCATTCTTCTCAGAATTATGACTAGTCAATTAATTGTCTTTTTTTCATTTCCCTTTGGTCTTTATAGTAATTGATTTTATGGTACATTAAGTTTTGAAGTCGGGGGGCTGGAAGAGTAGAATTTGTACTCGTGGAGCCAATTTTTCTCTTTTGGGATCTACTCATTTGTTTTTTGAACAGACATTTATTAGATGCTGGGAACTGCACTGCGTCCTAACTCTTTTTGCATTCCCATTTTGTTGATGAGTAACGTTATTATGTTGTGAGTAATACCATCTGTGTGTGTCCTCCCAGGTGGGGTGACCGCTCTCTGTTGGGACCCAGTCCAGCGGGTGTTATTCTCTGGCAGTTCAGATCACTCTGTCATCATGTGGGACATCGGCGGGAGAAAAGGAACAGCCATTGAGCTCCAAGGACACAAGTAAGTCTGCTGGTGCTTTTTTAAAAATCTCTGGAAAAATATTCCTGGCTGAAAGGTGGGACAGAGGAGCGCGGTCTCAGTGGGGGACCTTCGAGTAACAAGGAACATGTCAAGAACATAGTAATGGGGCTGTGGCTGTGGCTGTGGCTCAGTGGTAGTGCACTTGCCTGGCATGTGTGAGGCACTGGGTTCAGGTCTCAGCATCACGTCTAAATAAGTCAAATAAAGGTCTATCAACAACTAAAAAAATATTTAAAAAGAACATAGTAATGGCCACCTTGATTTATGTCTGTACTAAAGTGTCTTTATATATTTATACCCTGTTTTATGTCACAGGATTTGAGAGTGCTTATGAAACCATAAAATGAAATAATGGCAACAAATAAATAAAAGGTAAAAAATTAGAACCAGGGAGAATACAAAAATACAAATTTGAATGAGAGGGGGGGAAAGAGCTTAAAAATACAAGCCAGGAAGCCCTACAAAATTTCCATAATTGAGTTCAAATGTGGCTTGAAGCTCCCTGGCAGCTTGAGGAAGAGATAATATCCTTACACAGTACATTTTGTACTTCACCGAGTATTTATTGAGTGCTTGCCTTGATTCCTATCAGACCTTCTTCATTGAGGGTTGGGCTTTCACAGGCTGTGGAGAGAGCAGAGAAGCCTTGTTTCCTTGGAGCTGATCTCACACTTGGCTTTGTACGAAGGATCATTGAAGAATTTATTAAAAAAGTAGATTCCAAGCTAAGATTCTGGTTGCTGGTCTGGAGCTGTGGGAACCTGTTTTGTGACAARCCACCTAGGCAACTCTCTGCTGTGACCCTCAGACCATGTTCAGAGCTGCCCATCATCTGCTGCTACTATCCTGGGGGTAAAGCCCAATCTTTTTGCAGAAAAGATAGATCCGTGTACAACTATAGAGCTACTGTGAATTGTGTTTTACTTGTGAAGTTTTCAAAATGATAATAAAAGTGACCCTAAGCAATTGTTAATAAACATCAGTAATGTTCCTATGAGCTAAATGGTTTTAAGAAGCCTTAGCCTTTCCTGTATATCTGCCTAGAAACACTAGTTTCCAAATATTCTCCAAAGTGTTAAAGCTATGATTTGGGACTATTGGGTAATAACCAACTAAGTTTTGGAGGACCCATGCACACTTATGTCAGGTTTAGAGCTTAGCTTTTTTCTCCCTCCTTCGAGAACACACCAGCTATGTGAGTCTCGCCTGGTGTGTGGGGCTACATAGGCCTCATCAACTCATTAGAGCAATTGTTCCCTTATATTTATCTCCCTAACAAGGGGACAGACATCCAGGTCATATAGAAGGAATTTACATCATCCATGTAAAATAAAGAAAGAGAGAAGTCAAAACATACTTCCGTTTAATAACATTCAGTTATTATCTAAATTGCCAGATAATTCCTGCCAAGTCAGCTTCTCTCAGAGAAATAAAATGCAAGTTTTGAATGAAGATCAGTAACATTTGTTGGACTCATTCACTTTAGCTCCTAACTAGTTTTTTTCTTTTTACTCCATAAAGAGCAAGTGTACWGTCTTGCACAATTTCAGCCCTAAGAAATTAAACCTTGCATTGCTCAACATCAGCACTGCTGTATGCAGAAAGCCCTTGACCTGCACTAAACTGTGGCTGTGGGAAGCTTAACAGTTCGTTTAGAAAGGAGATATAAGGTTTAGATACAGTTTCTCAGTCCTAGAAAAATAAAACCTAGCTGGAGATAGGCCCTCCAGCTTCTAAGGTGTACAGACTTTTCATTTGAGAAAATAGAATCTATTTGGAATTCATTTTGATAGGATTGTACCCTTAGACCTTAGATTGGTGGGCAGGCAAGCCTACTCTTGGGATGGGGAGCCACCATACAGAACTAGCATTAGTGTCATTATTATTATTTTGGTACCAACCCAAGGATTGAACCCAGGGTCAATTGTTCAACTACTGAGCCACCTCCCCAGCACCCCCACACACACACACACTTTTTTGAGACAGGTACCATTACATTGCTGAGGCTGGTCTCAAACTTGCAATCCTCCTGCCTCTGCCTCCTAAGTCACTGGGATTACAGGGATACACCACCACGCCAGAACTGACTTTAAACAGGAAAAATGGCAGCAGGCCTTTGTCTGGGGCCTTATTTAATTGAAGCCTARCAGTAAATACAGTGAGATCTCTGAGGCTCTTTGTCTGCAAATCTTAGCCTTCAAGGGATTGCCCTAGTATCAGGGAGCTGGAGAAATGAACTTCCTCTGATCACTCAGTGTCACTCTGGGTCTGACTGCCAGGTGGGGATGGGGGCTACTTGGGCTGCTAGAAATAATAGTTGAGATTCACAAAAGACTGAAGGAACAGTCAAAAGAGCACCAGGCAAGTAGTCCTGGCCCTTTCTCAGCAGCCATTCCTTCCCTTGAAAATGGGCCACTGGAGTGGCTTTCAGTGATTCTTATATTTGAATAGCACCTATGTTTTGTCAAAGATCTCTCAAAACCTGAAAACCCCTCAGTTTCATCTTATAATCATCCAAAAAGAGAGGCCAGGTGCTATTTTTAAGATAGCGCACCAAGCCTTACTTCTCTCAGATCCAGAGCTACCCTGCTTCTGTGGCTCCAGCGCCATGGGGCACCAGGGCTGCAACAGTAAACGCTGGCCAACAAGTGGTCTCTGCTGCGCCTGCGGATGTTTTCTGTTTCTTTTCTGCTTGGGGCCCAAGGCTGCCCCTTCCTCTCTTCCAATCTTCATTTTCCTTCCTTTCCCCAGGGGCATTCATGGTCAGAGTTCTAGATCAGGGACATACTGGTGGGAAATGGGGAGAGCAGGGGATCAGCCTTCCCTTGGCATGGAAATGGCCACTGTTGTATTGAGGGGCAGCTCCACTGGTTCCTGTGCTGCAGCAACAGATCCATGGTTAGAACTTGTCATGTGCTACATAGGGACGTCTCCTACACCATGGTAGTCCTGTGGGATTATAATGAAAAATTCCTTTGGCCTAATACTTTTCTGTTTCTTTTGTACATTTAGATATGCTTGGATACACAAATACTGTTGTTAGAAGTCCCTGCAGTGTTCATGATAATAACAGGTGGTGGCACAGGTTTGTCACCTAAGAGCGGAAGGCTCCACCATATACCCTAGGTGTGTAGCAGGCGACACCATCTAGGTTAGTGTACGTGCTCTCCATGATCCTCATGTGTCAACAAAATCACTTGCGATTCTCAGAACATGACTGTTGTTAAGTAAGGACTCTGATTTGATTTGATTTGCTGTTTAAAATCCCATCAAAGCAGAAACTTTTAGCATTAAATACATTGATTGATGACAGTGAAAATGTTTATAAGTCTGAGGGGAGAAAGCTAAGAAAGTATACTTTTACACAGTATTATCTGCATCTGAAGAGTTTTGGCATTTTTATTCCCTGTGCAACTGGAATGTGGTTGTATGTTATGCTGGTGGTGTGAGAGGAAAAGCAAAAAAAAAAAAAAGCCTTTAGTTCCAGGGGCTGGTTACATTTTTCTGCCATCAGCCACCAGTTGCGTGGATATTAGAGAAGCATAACCCAAACTCTACTGTGCTGTGCATTATCTAATAATGGTACTTGTCTTTTTTTAGATCGTTTTTTATTCCTATATACGACCTGTCATTTCATGACCAACTTTGTGACTGTGATTTTTCTAATAGTATAGTTTGGGGCCTAAGAGTTTTTGGAAATTTAATATAATTTTATTTAAATCACTGATAAAGACCTGTGCAGTGCCTTATGTTGGGACCTTTCACCAAGACTGGAACCTACAGGTTGCATGAATCTTGGTCACAGCCACGACTCAGCACCTGTGGCCTGTGTGTTTGCTTCCTCTTTCTAAAATTCCAGCTCTTGGTTTGTTTAAGACTTTTGTTATGAGTGTCTGCAAACCTTTTGGTAAAGAAATGAGCAGCTTGTAAGTAAATATGCATTGGGAGGATTTGTGCTTATCCTCTTATATCAAGTATGAAAGGAGTAGAGCTCTTGCGATTATGAAAGGAGTAGAACTTTTGCAATTCTTCTTGAGTTTGGGGCAGGGAAAGCAGGCAGGGATCAATGTGTGTGTCAGCTCTCTCTCCTTGCAACTCTCTGGGATTTAGGAGTATTTCTCAATGTAGGTTTAGGAAACTAATAGGCAGAGGAGAAGAGATGTTGATACTTCTAATTATTTAGCTAAATGCATAATAGAATAAAAATTGGACAGTAGTTTTCATAGAGAGTAGACATGTCATAAAGTGGGACTGTCTAGTGTGTTTCTTTAGTGTGCAGGCCTGGGGCCAGATCAGACCATATTTAAGCCAGGTCTTCTGCTAGCAGCCATGTAGTCTGAAGCAAGGCACATCACCTCTCTCATCCTCCATTTCCTTATCCCTAAAATAAATTAGAAGAAAACCCCTCACAAAATTATCTAAAAATAAAATAATGTAATATGTGTTAAATAATCAGCCCAGGAGTAAAGTCTTAATAAATGATAGTTGTTACAATTATTCTTTTCTTAAAAATTTGTTCTTGCCAAGCACAGTGGCACATACCTGTAATCCCAGTGGCTGTACATCGAAGTCCCCACAAACCCTCCTGGGCAACCTCTAAAGCAACCTTTGTGCAGACTGTGTCTGTTTCTGTAAGGAGGATAAAGGCTTCTCTGTGCTTTCCCCTCAAGCATCAGATGCGCACCCCTCAGATGCAGGATGCGCGTGAGTGTGTGACCTGTGCAGTCCCATAGGCTCCCTTCTTGGAAGGGCCCCGTGCTTGGTTTAAAGCTTGTTGTCACCTGCTTGTATTAGCAATAAATGTTTAACATGGGGCCTTGTGTTTTCATTTTGCACTGGTCTCAAATGATTCAGATGGACCCAGTCAGACATATGTTGACCTTAGGATTGGTAAGAACAGAAATGAGGCTATCCTACTAAGTGTAGTGTTTATAGAGGGCAGAATAGATCCTGGTGCTTTGAGAAGTGGGTTTTTGTGC